CCGCGCCTCTCTGCCTGTCTCAATCCTTTCATCTATTGTTTTGCTGCCGATAGTTTCACTCCACGAAGGCTTCAAAACACCCTCCTGCAAATCTTTTTGTTTCGATGACTTGGGTCAGAGAGACCACAAGCCCATCACTGCATTTTAAATTTTGCAGGATGGCGAGGGCGATTTGAAGCAGAAACTGAAGAGGCGAGTAACACGAGCAAAATTGGTTCACAGCAAAACGCTGGCACTATACGATAAGCAGCTCAATGAATTTCGTGGATGTATGGAACCGCACTTGTTCGACCGGGCTCTCATCGTACGACTTCGCCGAAGGTCAGCAACAGACTGATTTATTATTTCAGCACCACGTACTAATTTTTTTTTTTTTGAAAATTCAGGCCTCATTTCGAATTCGTGAAAAAAAGCTTCTTGCATTCTAAATTCGAAAAGTTTATGGAGAGAGGGACAACGTCGAGCATTTAAAATTACAGTGTGCTTTGCGCAAGTGATTCCCTGTGGTTATTTTTTTACTTCGTAATCAAACACTTTATTATTTTAGTTAACTGTTATTTCATCATCGCGTTTCTTCTCTTCACTGATACAGTTGGCAAATTCTCCATTCTTTTTTAAAACTGTTACAATCTTACAGTTTTCACTTCTTATAAAATAGAATTTCACTGGCTGAAGCTATTTTTACCAGCAGCAACTCAAGTAGCCTATAGAAAGCTTCAGCCAGTGAACTTGTTCTACTTTTTTTTCTGTAAGGAGTAAAACTGTAAGATTGTAAGAGTTCTACGTATGACTACATTTTTTTCAGAACCACTTTTTTTTTACATTTTTTTTTCAGAAATACAATAAATGCGCTACATTATGGTAATGTTGGTGGGCAATTTGTACCCTGCGTCTTTTTTACGTTCCCTGGAAGTCGAGGTAAGCGCAGATCTTTCAAATTCCTCAACTATTATTCATCTTGTACGATCATGTAAAAAATGTGCGAGTATTTTTTACAGCGATTTCAATGTTTTTG